AGCAAAAATAACAGAGGTAATGCTGTAGCGTGCAACCTTGTGAAGACCAGGTGAGTCACTTTTCCAGTCTTTGATATATTGTTCCCACTTGATCAAAAAGAGGAAGCAGCAACCATTAGCCAGTATCCTAGGTAAAACCCAAATAACCTTTACTTGGCTGTACTTCAAGATGGTGAATAGGGGTGTAGAGAGGGACACCAGCCTTTCCTCTCCCCTCAGTGTGTGCTTTCCTCTTTGGGCACCATCAAATTTGAATGTAGGTCATATATGACTTCATATCACATCTAAAGAGTAGTGTTTATTGGAATTATTCTTTCCAATGAGCTGTTATTACAAGTGTGTATATGATTATGTAATTGTTTCTCTTCCTGTTGTGGAAAAAGTAAAGATAGGGAATATTTTCTATAAAGTTGAATCACTTTAACTGAGCTGCTAAAATTATTAACATTATGAAGGTTGAGGCATGAGGAAAGACTCCATTCTTGTTCTAACTAGCCTAGGAACTTAAACTTTTTTTAACTTCCTAGCCCTGAATCAATGCCTAGGTATATGTCTTGACCTTCAGATAACCCTTTGATTATCCCATGAAGGACTCATGTATATATCTACCTGACATCCATTATCCAGACCACTGGAGGTGACCAGACCTCCTGGACCCATCTGGACCACCTGGCATCCATCACCCAGACTGACTGACATCTGACTGATAACCATCCCAGACCAATCCTAGGACTAAGAATGCAGGACTGATAATTCTTAAAAGTGTACTTTTTACCATAAGAACTTTTAACTTTTCTTCTTTGGTACACTTCTGGGGTTTTGCCCAGCTGTGTTCTCAGTTTGCAAACTCCAAGACCCTTGAATAAATATTATTTATTTCTAGCCAAAGCCTCCAGGCTCTTTTTGAGTTCATTGGACACTGTTTTATTTGACATTAAATAAGGACCACACGAGTTGTTGATGGAATTAAAGAAATACTTAACACACACACAGTTCCCCTGGAGATCATTTCTCCATAACTGGGGCCAGTGCCACACAGAACTTGTGAGGGTTTACTCTTTAAAAGCCCCTACTAATATCAAGGTAACTTTCTCATACCAGTCCTGCAGTGTTGACTGAGTAAAGGCCTACAGGCATTTATAACTCAAACTCTAAAAGTTGTAATGCAGACTTTGGTATTTGATGTGCTGCAGTTTCGAACTGCTCTCTTTTATCTGTATTATGTGCTAAACTTTGAATTGCAGATGAGTTGAAAGATGTTTGCTTTGTTCTTAGATACCAACATAATTTAGCATCACTTACTTATGATGTTTAGGTAGATGGCTTTAAAAACCAATCCAGGGCCGGCCGAGTGGCGCGATGGTTAAGAACTGGCTTGGGACGCCAGAGGGCCCCGGTTCGGATCCCACGTATGAGGGCCAGTGACACTGCCCTCCACAGCTAAGATGCTGAACAACAGCTCAACCTGGAGCTGGGATGCCGTGAGTCACCGGCGACGGCGTAGGCTGCAGTCCCTGTGGCAGTGGGTTGCCATGGGCTACCGTATGTA